CAATAGCCCAGTATTTCTCAATTGGGCGGAGCTCTAGCGTGTTGGGAGGGTTCTTGTCCTTGGGAACTACCTGCACGTTGTTGGCGGTGTACCACTCCATGGCCTTTTTACCGTAATGGCAAGATGCCAAATCCGGCCAAAACAGTACGGAACAACCGTGTTTCTTCAGGAAAGGCAGCAGACGTTTATTCAAACACTCTTTCACGTAAATTTCTTGGTTGACAGTCCCGGAAGCTATGAAAATGCTGCTTTTCAAGCCACAGGTACAGATGGCTTGCCAAACCAGATATTTCTTTGCGAACTTTGACAGTTTCATGTGCTTGAAAACATCTGCTACCTTTCCCCTTCCTTTTGCCGTATAAAACTCCTGTCCCGGAAGCTGCTTGTAGTCGGCTTTGACGTAGGTTTCGTCGTCCATTACCACGCAGTCAAACTTCGTCAGCATCGTCGTGTACAGCCTCCGGGATCGCGCTTTGGCCGTCGTATTTTGTTTATCATCGCGATTTGGAGTCACTACCTTCTTGTAAGTCGATAGTCCGGCTCGTTTTTTGGCTCGATGCACGGTTGTAGACGATACACCCAGCTTATTTGCGGCATCTCGGAGAGAGAGGTTAGGGTTTCGCTTGAAACTACCGGCAACTCTCTTTGTCGTCTCAGCGGCTTCCGGTTTTCGATTTCCCCCCGATCCAGACTTCCTGGCTGTCGATAAACGTTCCCCAAACACTTTAATTACATTTGTAACGGTTGATTTGGCAACTTCTAGCGATTTTGCCAACTTTGCGTGCGAGTAGCTCGGATTTTCGCGATGCGCGAGCAAAATTTTGATACGCTGCTCTTCTTGCTTGGACGGCATTTTGACAACTGAAGAGTGAATTCCAAAATCAAAATAGGAGCAACATTCTACACACACACACCTTCAAAATGAGGGGTGTTCAGGTTTTTTAAATGCAAAATTGAAAGAAATACGTCAAGTTGATATTGACCAAATTTTGACCGTATCACCCTTTAATAGGCTAGAATCCAGACTAATCGGTGTGAATGGTACCGACGTGTGTAATCCGAGCGCTACAGATTGGTACATGTTGTTTCCTGACTTCAGTAGCCATGTGTACTGTCCTTGAAGGCAACGATTCATGGTATCCACACTGGTTCTGTGTGTTTCATGAATGGCTAGGATGCAGGATGGGTTCTTTTTGATGAGTAATTCGAGATCTGCCAGGTTATTGAAAAACCCGTTCATATTCCACTGGATAGCGATTGTTGCTGAGTCGATCGTCGGTTGGAAAGTTCTACCATTGGAAGACAGGGGTCGTGTGTTCATTGCTGGTAAGAGCTTAATCGTGGTATCGTTCCTTGAGTGAGTTGGTTCATTGGACCAATCGAGTCCGAGCGTTTCATGTTGAAGTCGGTCATATTCGTCAGCGTTTGTTAGGGCTCGGAGTGGTAAGGCCGAGGGGAGCGTAACTTGTCTTAATTGGGTCTCATCGGATGGAGGTAACAGTAATGTGTCAGCTGTCAATGAGGGAGTTGCGGTTGAGATACTAGGCCTTGGAGTTCCTGTCCATCCAGGGGAATGGGCGTAAAAACCCTTGTCTGTCCCTCTTCTGCCATCCCCGGGGTGCCGGGGGTTGTCCGCCAGTTCCGGTAAAAAAGTGACGTCCGCACTGACGGGGCCTCGGCTGCCCCGAGGAGAGGGCAGGGAAAAACCCGGGGAACGAGGGGTGAACCTCTTGTGCGTCCCGGAAACGAAAGAAGCCACTGAGCGTCGGGGGTTATCCACTGGTTCCGGTGGTGGTATAGCTTCCGCACCAGAGGTGCCCCGACTACTCAGGGCATCCGTCGTTTGCTTCATCCAGTTTCTGTTGTTGGTCCATGTTGGTGATTGAGCATTATACGTCCCTAAATCGTTCGTATAGAGTTGTGTAGATTCGTTGCTTGTTTGTTGGTGTCGATTACTTTTCTCCTCATTGTCGGTATTGCTTTTTTCAACGTTGGATAAAATATTAGCCATCGCGCGATGAGTTGGAGATAGCCTGTTTTGTAGTGGTATCGACGAAGAACGAAATTCAGCTAGCGGTTTAAGACTGCATCTCAGGGTCATCATCCGACGGGCCATGTAGGATGTCCGATGTGTTGTCACTGACGTTTGCAGATCTTATTTTGAGGGGTTGGTTAACTTTGGGATGGATCGGCGAACGCAAGCGTTTAGACGATCTGCTTCTCGGTTTCTCGTTTCTCTTGTGGCCGCGGTTACGGCTGCGACTGCGACTACGGCTGTGACTCTTACGGGGCTCATTTTGTTTCTGTTGTTGCTGTTGTTGGAAGTCTTTGTTGTTGGCCTTGCTGGAGTGACTGGACTCTACTGCAGCCTGAGGTGCTGGAAGTCCGACGGATTCAGCATCCTTTCCGGTTTCCTTGAGCAAGGCTAGGTATTGCTGAGATATTTCGTTAAGCTGGCTCTTCGTCGTTCTGTACAGATTTTTGTACATGTTCAGGTCATGCTGAAGTCGGTCCGGGATAACTTGCTGGTCTTGTAGCTTTTTATTCCATTCGTCTTTTTGTTTAAACGCTCTTCCATTTCCGCCAACCTCTTCAGGATTTCCTGATTTTCGTTACTATTGCTGATGTTACCTGCTTGTCCGGATTGTGAAGAATTGTGCCTTTGCTGGTAGATCTTCTTCGCCGCGTCATAAAACAATCCCAGATCAATTCGTATTTTGGCGATTTCATTTTCGGCCACGTAAACTGGACACTTCTTACTCGATACAGGGTGTTCAGAAGACTTGCATTTGGGGCAATGTGGTGCAAAACGGCAGGTGACTCCTCGAACCACCTCGTGGTCACCAGCACACATGCCACAGATTTCTTTTTCCGCACAGCGCAGTTTTGTATGTCCAAACTCCCAGCATTTGTAACACTGCATGGGAGCAGGATAATATGGCCTGGTTTATACACGGAGGTAGCCGAGGTATACGTGTTGTGGGATCGCAGTACCGGATACGGTTAGAATCAACATCGGTGTATTGATCCTATCATCCCCGACGCCTTTCCGGGTGATTCTCCGAACAGAAGATATGCCTTGCCCTGCTAGGATGTCTTTTACTTCCTCCTCGGTGAGATCTACCACTTCGTAGTTGTGTATTACACACTTCACATAATTGTGAATCGGATGCTCTTCGATGCTGATCGGAGTGTGATCGTACAGTTCTTTCAAAGATTTCAATTTATCTACCTGCTCTGGTCTTCTGACTTTCAGGGCGTAGCGGGTTCCTCGATTTTCGGGAAATGCACCCTCTATTAGTCCGCAACATTGCGTTACGGATAGACTAACCACAGTCGGATTTTTTGATAGCACCGCTGGTTCAACTGGTTGTAGTCGTAGGATTGTCAGTGGGCCATTAACGTTTTGTGGGTCCATCCATTCGGGAACTGTACGTCCCCTGTATGATCCATCAATGGTATTACAACCCGTTGCTCCACCACCAGGATCCCCATCGAGGGGAAAGTCCCATCCCGACTTCATAGTCGAGATGGCATTGAAAGGTTTTCAGCAAGCGAAGTCCAGAATAGCGTCGTATAACTTCCGCGGTGGAGATGCCTTTATGTACAGCAGTCACAGCACAGCAGCAGAACTCTCAGTGTGATGCAGACGAACAGCAGTATGGTTTTTTTGCACACAACTATACACACGATTCGCGAGCGAATGAGGCTATACTAACGGAGGTAATTGTTTGCCTTTTGTTTATCACTATCGAATAGCGCGTGTATGAAATTAAATTGTTATCGATTTTCAAATATTTTTGAAAGCTTTTCGCATATTTTAGATGTTGTATACTGAGATACAGTTACTTTTGTTATTGTGAACTATATAAATACCTAAAATACTTCAATTTTCTTAAATATGAATTGAATAGTGGCGGAAAATTTTTAAATTCATTTTCTGGTTTGTTTACGTTTTGGACATAGGCCCATTTCAAATGTTACTTCTAGATATGTGTGCAGAAATTATGACCGGTCATGTATTAGGTTTAGCAAAATACTCTACGAGGGGAGGAGAGGGTCTTAAAAACTCTCAAAAATTATGCTACGACATTTATGCATGGTCCCTGCTCGTCAGGTCAAGGAAGATCACTTTGCAATGTTGATCAATAATAAACAGGTAGGTATTGCGCATGGCATACCAAACTGGTCTAATAAGCGTGTTTTCATTCATTTCCGTCTAATCATCTTGGTGTTTTCGGTGCACTTATTTCTTATGATGCAAGCTATAAGTGCTCCGAAGGCACCAAAACGATTCGACGGAAACGTGCACTTTTATCATACTTTTTTGCATTTTTGAGGGCAGTCCAGTTTCAGATGCAATCAGCAATATTATCTGGAAAAAGACAGTGTTGTTCATCGACTTTATGGACGAGGGACCCACAATAAGACACATGGCATGCTGAAACAAGCAAAGCGATATCCTTGAATTATTCTGCTCCACTTCGGCAGTGCGGGTGCAGTTCGATGCACATTGCCTTAGCAGCTACTAACCATTCTCTCGATTACCGCACTCTCTAACAGCAGCAATGCCGGCAATGGGGCAAAGGTGGCACTATCTGCGCAAAAGTTAAGTGGTTACACATCGCGATCTGTTTTTTTTCTTCTTCGATTTTTGGCAGCAACCGCAATCAACAACACACAAACTAGCGAAACCCCCCCAACCAAACGCATCGTTCGTGGGGGCTATATTTACTGTTTCTTCTGATGAAGCAATCAACCCGATAATTGGGCTCTTCTTGATTTCTTCTTCCACCGACAAAAAAAAAAACCGGGTGGGGGATCGTTCGGCATTTCCCTCTACCCCGTTACGTAGTTTCGTTCTTTTTCTTATATGAATGTACATTAGTTTTCCGGAGGCCCGCTGATTGAAAATTGCCAGCTATATCGAGCTGAAAGAATTATTCTTCCTACCAGAACCATTGAAAAATGAAGAGGAGGAATGCCTATCGGAAACTTACCTGTTTACGTGCACCGCGGTTGCGTGTGTGTGAGAGAGCCTGGTTCTGCTATTAATTCCAATATCGGGAAAATTGGTATCCGATGATAGTGCTTCGGCAAGAAATCAAGAATTTTCAACCCGTTTCCTTCTTCCGGTGGTTTTTCTTCAGGCACCCAACTCAGCAAGGCAAAATTTGGTCAATTTTTCAGAGCACATGCTACGCCAGCACTGATTTTTTCTTCATTCTTCGCATTCACTTCGAGAGATTATCTACGACAGATTCTCACCGACAATATTTTGACACTTGGGCACTCGGAATGTGTTGACACTTCCCGACGTTCCTGGCAGCACACTCCAGCTGAATATTGACCCTCGAAATCACTAGCTTCCGCCGCTCTGGCAGGTGCAGCACCCGAAAGGAAGAAAAACAACAAAACACGAACGATCGATAAAAATCCTCCGTTTTCTACCTTCTGCCTTAAGCTTCTTCTTCACACTCCCGGATCAATTCGCTGCTGGCTGGCTGGTTGGCCCGTTTTTTTTTTTTGCCTTTGCCCCGTCTCTCGCACACACAACTTTCACGGGGGACGGGATTTTTTCCTCCTCGTTCACTACCTACTTCGAACTGAAATCCGGAAACCGAAATTACGCAAATTCCACACCCCGAGGCTGCAACGATTATTTTCTTTTGTATGGAAACTTGCTCGCACAGCAGTTCGCGCAAACTGCACACAAACTGTTCACGAAAATATCCGTGCACTGGCCTTTTTTACAATAATAATCCTCGTCTTTGCTGTCGGTCAGTCGTAGGAATTGATGCCATTTTTGAGTAACAACCAAAATCGCACCACCGAAGTGAAAAAGACAGAACTTGTGAATGTGTGGTTGTGGCTGAAGGATGCTGGCTGGGTGCGAGAGAAGAAGATGCGGGTGCGGGAGAGAGATAAAAATGCAAGAGAGAACTGTCACGGTGACAGCTCGCAGTTGCACAAAGTTAGGTGCTCGGAGTGAGGTAGGTGAAGTGGTATAAAGTTGTCTCGAATGGATTAGGTTGAAACGGTGGAAAACCAAGCCAAACAATCGAAGGGGTCGTTAATCCTATAGTCGCTATATTCATAGTCTGGCGGATAGAATTTCGGGAACCAATTGAACTGTCAAAAAGGGGAACCAATTGAGCGGTACTGAATTTTGCAGTTAGAGTATTGTAATCGTACCAAAAAAAATATATAAAATTTTGTTCATTTGAATCAAAAATGTAACAGTTTGTTTAGCTAAACAAATAAATTATGTAACAATATATGTAATTCAATCGAACTCAAAAATAGATAAACTGACCAACATTTGGGTAAACCATTCTTAGCGTGTCATGCTGTCTTTCTCTTGTGTTTTGTGGACACCGGTAGTATTTTTTTTTTCGAGTGCTACAGCTATTTTTGTTTTGGTACGGAACTGTGGTGGATCCTACCGCTGGTGGTCATTCCGATCGGCGACGACAAGGATAAGTAGTGCAAAGGTCCCGCCGAATCAAAAACCCTGAAAATTCTACTCAGCTTTGTCATCGAGGAGAAATTTCCGGCTACACAAATCCACAGCCCAAGTGCGTCGTCATTGTCACCTGTTTGTTGGGGTAGAGCGGTGAAAAGCTGCCGGAAAGAGCAGTCATACAGTAGTGAGCGATACCGAAGACTACCACCGGATGCTTCCTGCCGGGGAAAGCTGCGAAAGAGAAAGAAGAACTGACAAAGAAGGTGGCTGAATCTGATGGCAAATTTAATTGATAAATTTATCAACGAATTGGCGACGGCCGGATCGTTTTTGTTTTTTTTTCCGGCACGGGGTGTTGGCCACGTTCGTCATTCTTTGTAAGTAGTAATACTATCTTTTGTATTGGTATTGATATTGATTATTGATCTCTTCTGTTTCAGTGCACGATATGCCGCACGAGGCAACTCTTCCATATGTCATCCAGGTTCAGCCGGAGGGACGCAGCCAAGACTTAGATGCTGACTGCCGGAGCAGGTTTCATAGGAGCGCTGGTGACCTTAGGGGGCAGTGGTGCCACCACGGCAATGGAAGGTTTCACCTCTTGGATTGTACCGCTTACGGCGCAAGGATTCTTACACACGGTGACGATTTTGGCGGATCTGCGCAGCGAACATTTTGCCGTCCTACTGATGAGCATCCGACTGATAGGAGTGAGATGTACATGGAGCACTTGAAGCAAATCTCCTAACCCCCAACCCCCCACCCCACCGCCTGCTAAGTTCAAATTAAAAGCATAGACTGAGAATAGGTTCTCCATCCCTGTATAGAAGAAAAATTAGAATTTAGACATATTTTATTTGATAGATGAATGACAAATGTGCATGAATAAAAAAGTGAAGGAATAGGTATTTTTTAAATGCATCTGAATAAAAAAATTTGATTTTCTTTTTTGGTAATCAGTTGTTTATTGAGCATACTGTTCATATTGCCATAGATTTACTGTCCTGTCTTTTCTCACGTTGTACTATTGTACGGGAAATGCGCAATCGAAATAAAATGAATTTTTTAATAATCTTCTCCCTGATAGAATGACATGTTGGAATATGCAACGCAGGAACATTATTAATTAATTCGAAAAGTTGTTGGTCCAAGCATGAGTTAACTATCTTAAGACGATCAAAATTGTGTTTGAAAATCTCTTCTAATTCTAAGAAGAAATTAAAAGTGTTCATATTAACGTATGTGAGAGCACTTCCCGTATAGTCCTTAAGATGAGTAAAAAAAGTTATGTCGCTTAAGGGCATATCCTGAGCCAGACAATTATTGATGCATATTTTACAAGCTTGAGACCGTTGCATTATCTTCTGCATAACCATACCAGATAAGTAATAAACCACGTTCTGCTCAGAAAATCGAGTGCACAGTGTAGCACATTCTTCGATCACTTCATTATCGTTGGATTGCTCATCTTCTTCGCAGAATTTGTTGACTGACATGACAGATTGATCTGTACGATTGCTGACCAATTTGCTCTCGGTAGCTTTTGTACTCAAATACGATGGAAATTCGAGAAGCCAGCTGTTATTTTCCCACTCATATGAAGTCTGCTCAACACTGTTCAGATATTGAGAAACAGTAAGTAGCTTCAAGTTGTCTTTCAATTGCAATGCATTTGGTCTCATTTGACGACTCCGCAACTGAGAGAATATGTTCTCCAACGAATCTTGAGTCAGCCTTCCACCGAGGAAAAAGTCAAAATTTTCATGTTCCAAGAAGTACTCCTGAAGCCGCAATACACTATCCGTTGCCATTACTGCTGCTGATTGCCAAGGTTTACTTTGAATTTTCGCACCGACTCTGCAGCCGAAAATGATCGATCGAAATTTCATTAACGAATTGATAGAGCTCTTGTACGCATCTTCATTCATCCTGCTAAACGATAGCTGTATAGATCGTGATTTCATCATTGTGAACCATGTGGAAATGGTATCAATCAAAAAAGCAGTGGTCAAAACTTCTTCCCTACCGGTTTCTTCGGTGAAAACCCTCAGAGCAGCTGCTACGCCATGATTCACATAGTTTGTGGAGTTCTTTACTTTCATTTTCTCGAAGTTTGAGCTGTTTCGATCGAAATTTACATCCTCCAGCTTTAGTCCACAAGCCATCTTAAGGTCACAGTTTTGCTCGTAAGTAACAAGCTCTTGTAGATGAGTAATGTCAGCTACCCTGGAGAAGAGACCATTTTCATATGCTACTTGTTCGTCCAACTCGATTATACGATTAGCAATCCAACCTTGTATCATACACTTGCATACGTGGACACTATCTGGTAGCAGTTCGAGTGTACGAGAGGCATCTACCGGATGAGGGATTGGCTTATTACTCAACACTTTTCCTCTTGCATGCTGAACTCCACAGTCGTTCCAAAGTCTTTTGTTGGTTCCTATGAAAGGAAATGAAAATAATTTTTTTGATGACCTAATTAGTCCGCGTATACTATCCATAAACGCATAACAGTCCCATTATCATAGGAACTCAAGCGAACATGTGACGGTTATGCTTTTATGGGAAGTATAGCGTTCTATCAATTTTAAATACAATAAAATTTAATTACCACTACAATCACTAACAACCGCATGTACATGAAGACCGCACGATTCGGTTCTTCGGATGATGTTATATAATATTGATTTTATTGTTCCGTGTTGAATCGAATCACCAGTAAAAAAGTAGCCTACCACTTGCTTCCAACGTGATCGCAACCCGAAAAAAAATAACAACAAAAATACAATAAAAAACAATGTAACAATAAGACGAAAATTATTGTCTTAACAATGATTAATATTGTTACGTCTACAATAAATTTACCTTGATTTATGTTGTACAAAACAGCAAATTTCATGGTAAATGGAAAATTTACAATAAAAAAGGGGGGTTGTTAAGTATCTTAACAATGAAATTTTCGTGATTTCCCCATATAATTTTTTTTCAATAACATTATATATTATTGTTATTTTACTGTTGGTTGACGAATTTATTGATTTAAAAAAATAACAGTGTACTTTAGAGTGTATGTGTTGGCTTGACAGATCTACTTTATCGACTTTAAAAATAAATCGAAAAAATAAAACATCGCCCCGGGAAGGGAAGGGGGGGTATGTCTGTTAGGGGTGAGTCCTTTTTTTACTGGTTATGGATTGAGATTCGATCCGGAACTTGTGAGAAATGGAGGCCAACTCCCCTGCACTCGATCTCCCTAGGTCACGTCGCCTTGGTGGTTGAGCGTCGTTGATAAGTTAATGAATTCGACTGGAGAGAATCGCCCATGAAATATGCTTCCACCTGAGAGTTCCTTCCTGACATCTTCAAGTGGTGGAATTTTTTGTTATTATTGACTGCACGGAAAAGGTCTGCATCAAGCGGGATTTAGGATAAGAGATGAACGGACGCGGACTGGCTGGTTTTGAGCCAAACGAACTGTCAAAGCAAGAGCCATACGAGCAGCGCCTATCTTGATTACATTGGCAGTGTTGCTGACCCTCTCATAGTCTGCATGCTTCAATCAGATTTATTTTTATTGTTCGTGAAGTAACCCACAATGAAAACACACCAATATTTAATGTAACAACAATTTTTATTGTAATAGAATTGTTCATTATTGTTCATGATCGAATCATGTTAACAATAAAATAAATGAAAAATACGATAAAAATCATTGCAACAACATTTTATTAAGTACATTCATTGTACAGCTAGGTAGCAGTTTTGCCGTTTTCGGAAGGGTACAACATTATAACAATAATTTTTATTGTCGACAATAAATATTAATGTTAGAGCATTGTTTCCACTGAAAATTTCACTGTAATTTTTTTTTCGGGAAACCAACCAGCATAAATACCATCACGTGGTTTGCTAATCCTTCATGGCCGGGGAGGGTTATCTTGCCAACGTACTTCTTAAGGTTGTTGCAGAAATTTTCACCGGGTTGGATGGCCATCTCATCAAACACCAACGCACAATGCCTGTTTGCATCCTTAATACTGCCCACTTTATGACTAAGCAGCTCGAAAACTTCTTCAAGAACACTGCTTTCGAGATGCAACTCTTGCATCCGTTCCCGAAGTGTTCTGCTGCTGGGTAAAAATCGTTTTTTCCGTTCAGCTTCATAGGCAGTATGACCGCAAGCAAATCTGCTCCGCAATCCTTCGACAATGCTCTCGTTGGACCATTTTCGTATTTTTTTTATTCCTGTGGTAAGCAAATGGTACTGATCTTTTCCTGTCGTACATTTCATATCCTCGAGCTTTCTTTTTAGATTCAGGTTCTCTTCCTTGCTTTCTTCCGATGCACTAAAATGTATTAATAAATATAGGATACATTGCATTTCAAAACATTTAAGACAAAAATACCTTCGATTAACGCTGCAATTTTCACAGTTGCTCACTTCAACTTGTAGCTTATCTAACTTCATACACGAAAAGAATTATTCATATTGAATGTATTAAGCAAACCACATAGATTTTTGCCATTGCCATCCGCTCATAAAAAGTATAAGGATAAGTAATTAAACATATGTATAAGTCTTATGGATGCAATGAATCGTGCTTGAATGAAAAGTATAAGGCTGACTTATACTTTTTATGAACTTTGAAACATAAGAATTATTGAATTCGATATAGTATTGATGAAGTCCTTTTTCAATATTGTTTACTTTTATATTTCATTAGAAAAAAGCAAAAAAAAAAACGAATGTGTGAATAGATTTTTTTATGAATAATGATAGATATATGAGTGGTATAAAACTTCATGCATCATCTCGTGCATCGTGCATCGTGCATACTGGAACCCGAATTATTTACAGCACCGAGCTTTCGAGCATTGATCTGGAAAGTATAGTGTGCAACTGAAGATGAATTTCGCACTGCTTTATGATTGGGATCCGAAATTGTCCTCATGCCGTTGATCCTTCTGCATACCGAGAGCACCTGTCGTACCGAGTATCTCGCGTTGATGATTTAAAAACTATTAATGGAATGATGATTATTATATAAGCTGTAAATTTTCTACTCACGTAGTTGACATCCTTTTCCGATTCAGTCAAAAACAACTGTTATTTTTCAAAGCAGTGCTATGTAAAAAGTATAAGTGAATATTTATAGTTTTTGGTCATAACATATGATTAATGCTTTTCAATAAAATATCTCTTGGTTACTATGTGTGCCTGCATGAATTTAATGTGAGTGAAATAATGAATAACATTTAGTATAAGGTAATGAGAAGTATAAGTCTATTCTTATGAACAAAATAATTGATTTTCTTTGAGTGTACCTCCCAGGCCCTCTGGGTGTAAAAACGCCTCGTTGAGAAACTCTACATGGGTATACTCGATGTCCACCGGAATAAAATCACCCCCTGTTTCATGCTGATTACTTGCATCAAAGCTTTCCGGAACTTGCTTATCGTCACCATCAGTAAAGGAAATCAGCTTCTTTTTCTCCCGAAACTGTGGAACGGATTTCAACACAGGAACTGCATAACTTAACTTCAATATTTTTCCACTTGATGACAAATACAAATCCTTTTCATCGAAGTGCAACTGAAAATATGAATGAATCGTAAATTAATTAAAGCTTCAGCTCTGTATGTTGATATTAACTTACACTGCACAGTCGATAACTTCCAGACACCGCAAAATCATAAGGCAACTCGCAAAACTCTATCCACTTATTTTTCACTATAATATTCTTCGGAAATCGAAATAAAGCAATGTTTTTTATGTTCATCCGCCAGTTGCTGATGCAATTTTTATAGATGCATTTCATTTTTGCGACGATGCAAAAAGCTGACTTGTTTACCTTTTCACCAACATTCAAAGAGTCATGTTCAGCTCCAATATTTTGCCGTGGTGCCAGTTTTTTTGTTCAAAATTCAAGGTTGCCATTTTTTAGGTTTTTTTATCCGCCAGACTATGAATATAGCGACTATACACAGCAAAAAAAAAATTTAATATCGATCAACGTAATTCAAGCTGATGTATGAAATAATCATGTAAAAGCAAAAAGCAGATACAATATTACATCAATGGATGTCATTTTGTTCGCAAAATCGATGTACATCGTACAATGTGATATTACACAACCGATGGATTGACCTGGTTGCAGCAGTTTCGATGTAATATTCAACAACTTTTTTTGCTGTGTAGTGGAAACTAACGATTTAAAATTAGCTCACTACTTGACTAGCTCATTTGTCCCAAGCAAATCGATCAACGTACCCCATTCTAGTCGAAATTCTAGTACTACACTTTTTTATTTGCTATGAAAGTTTGACAGATAAAGTGAGGGACTCATGGATTTTCCTATGTTTTTTTTCCTTGATTTGTTCTAAGAGAAAAGATGACAATACGGGGGCGAAAATGAACCATTTTTCTGTCAAACGTGAACCAGCTCCTGATTGGGCGATTTCATGTGCGTAAGATAGAGATAGAGATAGATAAAGATAGAGATAGAGATAGAAATAAAAGAGGAAGAAGCCAATTGTCACCTCTTCCTCTTAGGATTTGTTTTCCGTCGATCTTGTTTTCCGTGCTGAGCATCAATGCTACCGACGCCAGGGAGGCAGCTCCCACACCTGGACCCTACCTACCGACCCAGCAACTCATGAACTGGGGACCAACGGCTTTACTTCCCTGATATAGGCTGTAATGTGAAGGGGCTATAAGACCAGAAGGTTCCTAAGAAATGTGCTCAACTTTTTGGCTCAGCTCTGGTACTATCTTCGGTCCCAAGCTAATCGATGCACCCCTCGAAACAAAGGAAAATCCCAGGGGTTTGTCACATCTAATACCCCGTTCACATTACAACGTATATCACGAGGTATATCACGTGATATACGCTGTCTTGCAATGAGCACTCATACATCTAGTTTTCACTGGAAATCCTACACAGCAAAAAAAAAAAATGTAATATCGATCAACGTAATTCAAGCTGATGTATGAAATAATGCTGTAATAGCAAAAAGCAGATACAATATTACATCAATGGATGTAATTTTGTTCGCAAAATCGATGTACATCGTACAATGTGATATTACACAACCGATGGATTGACCTGGTTGCAGCAGTTTCGATGTAATATTCAACAACTTTTTTTGCTGTGTATGTATGAGTGCTCATTGCAAGACAGCCTATATTACGTGATATAGGCTGTAATGTGAAAGGGGTATTAATCGCAATTCTAGAGGCTCGAAAAATTTCACACAACAAATCAATCTAAGAAAAATCTTCTTTCATTTCTCGCATCTTCTTGCATCGTGTATCATTTTTTTTAGCAGGAAATCTCAGAATCGTCATCAATCTTATTTCTATCTACTCAACGTGCGCGCAGCTAACCACAGCAAAACAAAAACTTTTCTGCATCGTAGATAGAGCCATCACCCTCTAGAAAATCCCCTAACCACTAATTTTATCTGTCAAACTTTCATAGCGAATCAAAACAAACATAGTGTAGTACTCGAATTTCGACAAGAAGGGGGTTCATTAATCGATTTGCTTACCAATTCTTCAATACACGACGTGTAAATATTTACATGACTGACACATCTTAGGTAATCATGACATTTTGATCTTTAAAAACAACGCGCATGAGAAAAAGAGACCTACACACAAATAAAAATCGTTAATAAAATTAAAAAAGCATCGGTGAAATTAAAAGTTTGCGTTGGTACTTTTTGGTAGAAAGCGGTTAGCTTTTAAATCGAAAGTTTGTCAACTGTCAGGTTAAAAGTTGCCCACTCATGACTTTTAAAAGTTACCTGAGTTTTGTCAAAAAATCGTAAATATTTACGCTGTGTGCAGCGATGAATAGGCTAGTGGAGTAGTGAGCCAATTTTAAATCGTTAGTTTCCACCGGTTGCTATATATGTGTACACATAAAAGCCATGTGTAACCACACATACTATTCATTTGACTCATTGCATAGAGATCTCCAAGCGCAATCTCACGAACACTAAAATCCAACATCCATTTATAAAAATAAAGAAGAAGAAGAAGCAAAAAGGTATAGCGATATCACAACTACTTAAAACGGTAGCGCGCGGTCTCACGCAAACTCTTGTGCATCTGGAGAACTCTATATGTATTGCTGATTGCATCTGAAACTGGACTGTCAAAAAATGCCAAAAGTGTGATAAAAGTGCACGTTTCCGTCAAATCGGAGCACTTATTGCTTGCATCATAAGGAATAAGCAACAATCAAAACGAAACTAACGATTTTAAATTGGCTCACTACTTGACTAGCCTATTGGTCCCAAGCAAATCGATTAACGTACCCCATTCTAGTATAAATTCCAGTAATACACTATGTTTGTTTTGATTCGCTTTGAAAGTTTGACAGACCTATGTTTCGAGGGGTGCATCGATTAGCTTGGGACCGAAGATAGTACCAGAGCTTAGCCAAAAAGTTGAGCTTGTTTCTTCGGGACCTTCTGGTCTTAGAGTTAACTCTATGGAATAAGTGCATCGAAGACACCAAGACGATTAGACGTAAACTTGCAGTTTTATCACACTTTTTAATAAGTGAAAACGCGCTTATTAGTCCAATTTGGTGTGAAACGCGCAATACTTCTAAGTGGATTCTGTTTATGTGTGGTCACATGAAAATCAGGTGGAATTTCTCATGAAAATTCGTCAATAAAAATGTGTACACCGTGAAAATTTTGGAACAACGGACTTTTTAATATGAGCCCGTTCTGTTTGTATAACTATTTTTATACCAGCAATAACCTCATCAGGCACCCAAAGTGCGGCTCTGGATTCGGGCCTCCAACTCGTCATCGATGTAACCTTACCGGTGCCAGACAGAAGTAGAAAAAATAATCGAACGTTTTGCTCCAGCAAAAGTAGCACCGCGAACCAAAAGTTAATAAAATTAGAAGATTATCCGGTGGAAAATGTTCCGTTTTCATCCACTTTGCTGGCTGGTGGCCGGCGTCGCTCTGCTTTCGTTAGCAGCCGTCCCGGCTCGTGCGGAACCGGGAGAAACTCTGGTACTGTTGGACAACTTAGCCATCCGCGAAACGCACTCCATTTTCTTCAAGAGTCTGCAAGGTAAACGATGCCGGGCTGTGACGTGTCCCAAATGTAAAATAAAACATTTTCGATTTTTGAAAAACTTTTTCAGAACGTGGCTACAAACTGTCCTTTAAGCTTGCGGATGACGCTAGTTTAGTACTTTCCAAGTACGGTGAGTTCTTGTACAAGCACTTGATCCTTTTCGCACCATCGGTGGAGGAGTTTGGCGGATCGTTGAGCGTCGAAGCTATCACCGACTTTGTCGACAATGGTGGAAACGTTCTGGTTGCGGGAAGTTCGAGTTCCGGTGATGCCCTTCGGGAGCTTGCGTCCGAGTGTGGTTTCGAAGTAGATGAGGAAAATGCCGCTGTCATCGACCACCTGAACTATGACATTTCGGACGGTGGAGATCATACGTTGATCGTTGCTTCCCCGGAAAACCTGATCGATTCGGAAATTGTTGTGGGTAAGAAATCTGTTGGACCACTGTTGTACCGCGGAACGGGTCTGTTGGCAGACAAGGAAAATCCATTGGTACTGCAACTGTTGACAGCTGATAGCACTGCATACAGTTACATTCCGGATGCCCCCATCAAGGAGTACCCACATGCCGTTGGTAAGGGAACACTTCTGATTGCCGCGCTCCAGGCACGCAACAACGCTCGAGTTGTCTTCTCGGGATCGCTATATTTCTTCTCCGATGAAGCTTTCCTATCGTCCGTTCAACGCGCTCAGGACGACAAATTGCACGGTAAATCCGGTAACCAGGATGTGGCGACTGCTATTAGCCAGTGGGTCTTTGGCGAAAACGGCGTCATCCGAGTCCGTTCGGTTAAACATTCCAAGGAAGGAGAGAAGCAGCCACCAGCTTCGTACACAATCACCGATCCGGTTGTTTACACTATTGAAATCGAAACCCTTGCTGCTGATGGTAAATGGCAACCGTTCCAGGCCAACGACGTCCAGCTGGAATTTGTCCGTATTGATCCATTTGTGCGAACGACTCTGAAATCGATCGGTGGAGGACGCTACCAGGCCAAATTCAATATCCCGGACGTATATGGCGTTTATCAGTTTAAGGTTGATTATGATCGAATCGGGTACACCCATCTGTACTCGACGACTCAGGTTTCGGTTCGTCCGCTGACGCACACCCAGTACGAACGTTTCATCCCGAGTGCTTATCCTTACTATGCGAGCGCTTTCTCGATGATGGTTGGAATGTTCCTGTTCTCGATCATCTTCCTGCACTACAAGGATGATTGTTCCCCCGTCAAAGGAGGCAAGGTTGCCGATAAGAAGACTCAGTAGGTAAGTGAAGCAGTTGCTTTTACTATCATTCGATCCGTTCGATAAAGGAACGTTTATAAATGTAAGCATCTGATAGGTTCATAGACACAATAAAGATCGAATCACAATTTCTCCGATCAGATGAATAACTATTAGTAGAATAAAAAGAAAATTCATGCTCGGTTGTTCTAGATGCTTTTTTTTTAATCTTAAATACGGGTCAATCAAGCAATACAGCTTGATTGAAAGTTCCAGTACATTATTAATGATTCACACATTGAAATGTATTGAGGCTGGGCTTATCGTATACGAAAATAGCTTCGGAATTTAAGCTTCTTGCAATTATTTATAAAAACGATGGTTGCAGGAGAATTCTACCCATAATGCAACTGCCAGTCAGTGGGAATTAGATTGTAAATACACAAACACACACCCAGATATCCAGGTTGGTTGTAAGAGCAACCGTAACGGTACGCTGCTAATCTCAAATTTAGCAGCCCTCATCATAGCGCAGTTACCGTGTCGGGGGTTGCCATACGAGTAACTAAAATAGCAGTCGGCTTCTCGGTGAGAAGCGCGTTACCAAATTTAGCAGCGCGGGATAAAGGTTGCTATTCGTAGAAATGTCAAAATGCTCACTACCGGTACGGACTACGGCGAATAAATTGATAACCGCGATAGCAGCGACCGGTGTGGAGAAGAGTGACTAAACTAAAATGAGAGCGCTGTGCGCTGTTGAAATAGTCGCGCAAATGACAACGACCGTTACGGTTCCTCTAATGAGCTTGTGGAGAAGTCCCTATTCTCGCGTGAGGTCGCTGTCTTCAAATACCTTCTCCAGTTTCTTCCAAGCTTCACTGGCCGTTTTCGTATCTTGAACGTGAACACACAGCGTTGGATCACCTTCTCAAGGTGGTTTGTTTAAAAGGACGTTAATAGATGGAAGCACAGCGTTGGATCTAGGCCGAAAATGATTTTACCTCGGGCTCACCGGTCCTTGCCGACGTTTACAGCAGGCAAGTTTCCTTCTTCATCCGGAGAAGGTTCCACAACTTTTCAACTTCCAGATACGTCCGTAGCGCAAACTTCCACGTGTGCCAGTTTTCGCGACCGACAAGTTTTTCGATTGCTGGCTTTCCAGAAGAAATTTGAACTCCGTTACCTGCTCTTTTCATCTTAAGTTAAAACAATCTTTATTTTTTGAACTTTCTTTTTTTTTTTTTTTTTTTTTTTAACTCTATTTGTTCCAAATTCAAAATAAATTACATTTCATTTTTAACCTAGGTGCTCCAGTTACTGCAGTAACGTACCAGCCTTAATTGTTATGATATATATCTAAGTGTTTTTACATTGTTCCTGTCTTGGCAATTCAGTATTTTAAACAGGTTTTTTAAACCTGCATGTCAGTATAACAATTGATAGCTTAAAACTAAATAACTAAAACTAAATCTTATCTAAGTATAAAGGGAATTAATCGTTGCAATTGAGGATTGCAACGATTTTTGCCTGAAATTATTCATTATTTTGTTGGACATTACTTCTAAAGTCTCAACATTCGAAATTCTATGTACCTCGGTAGTACTGTACCAGGGAGGCAACTTCAAAATCATTTTCAGAACTTTGTTCTGAATCCTTTGAAGTGTTTTTTTCCTGGTAGTGCAACAACTAGACCATATTGGCACAGCGTAAAGCATGGCCGGTCTAAAAACTTGTTTAAATATTAGAAGTTTATTCGTCAGGCAAAGTTTGGATTTCCTGTTTATAAGAGGATACAAACATTTAATATATTTGTTACATTTGGCTTGAATGCCCTCAATGTGATCTTTAAAAGTTAATTTTTGGTCAAGTATTAATCCAAGATATTTCACTTGGTTTGACCAGGAAATTGGAACTCCGTTCATAGTGACTCTGTGACTACTACTAGGTTTCAAAAACGAAGCTCTAGGCTTGTGTGGAAATATTATAAGTTGAGTTTTGGAAGAGTTGGGAGAAATCTTCCATTTTTGTAAATAAGAAGAGAAAATATCTAAACTTTTCTGCAGTCTGCTGCAAATAACACGAAGACTTTTTCCTTTAGCGGAAATGCCTGTGTCATCAGCGAACAAAGATTTGTGGCAACCCTGAGGCAAATCAGGGAGGTCCGAAGTGAAAATGTTATACAATATAGGCCCAAGAATGCTACCCTGAGGAACTCCTGCTCTAACAGGTAGTCGATTAGATTTGGAATTTTGATAATTTACCTGCAGAGTTCTGTCAGTTAAATAATTTTGAACTAATTTCATAATATAAAGTGGAAAATTAAACTTTTTCAATTTAGCAATCAAACCTTCATGCCAAACACTGTCGAATGCTTTTTCTATGTCTAGAAGAGCAACTCCAGTTGAGTGGCCTTCCGATTTGTTTGAACGAATTAAATTGGTAACTCTTAAGAGTTGATGAGTAGTTGAATGCCCATGGCGAAATCCAAACTGCTCATCTGCAAAAATTGAGTTCGTATTGATGTGAAGCATCATTCTATTCAAAATTATCTTTTCAAAAAGTTTACTTATTGAAGAAAGCAAACTTATTGGACGGTAGCTAGAAGCTTCAGCTGGATTTTTATCCGGCTTCAAAATTGGAACAACTTTTGCATTTTTCCATTTATCAGGAAAGTATGCCAAATGGAAACATCTGTTAAATAATTTTACCAGGAAAGATAAGGTACTCTTTGGGAGTTTTTTTTTATGAGGATATAGAATATTCCATCATCACCTGGAGCTTTCATATTCTGAAACTTTTTAGTTATAGACCTTACTTCGTACAAATCAGTCCCCCAGGAATCATCAAAAATATTTTCCCGAGAGAAAATATTCAGAAAATCCCGAGCAACCTGATTCTCAATAGGACTAGTAAGACCCAAACTGAAATTATGGGAACTCTCGAATTGCTTAGCAAGTTTCTGAGCTTTTTCCAAATTTGTGATCAAAATTTTACCACCTTCTTTAAGCGCTGGAATAGGCTTTTGAGGTTTTTTCAAAATTTTTGTGAGTTTCCAAAAAGGTTTGGAACTCGGGTCTAATTTAGAAATATTATTTTCAAAAGTTTTGTTCCTCAGGGCAGAGAATCGCTTTTTAATTTGTTTTTGCAAATCCCGCCAGATAACCTTCATGGCAGGATCGCGTGTTCTTTGATATTGTCTCCTACGAACATTTTTAAGACGGATCAAGAGCTGAAGATCGTCGTCTATTATAATTGAATCGAATTTAACCTCGCATTTTGGTACTGAGGCAGCTCTTGCTGCAACTATAGAAGTAGTCAGAGATTCAAGAGCATAATTAATTTCATCTTTGGTTTGCAAAGGAATGTTTGGATCGAAGTTATATTCCATAAATGTTCGATATTGCTCCCAATTAGCTCTATGGTAATTGAAAGTAGAGCTGTTGGGATTACAAATTATTTCTTGGGATATTTCAAAAGTTACTGGAAGGTGATCAGAACCGAAGTCAGCATGGGTAACCAATTGGCTACAAAGTTGACATGAATCAGTTAAGACCAAATCAATAGTGGAGGGATTTCTTGCAGAAGAAAAGCATGTTGGGCTGTTTGGATATTGAATAGTGTAATAACCTGCAGAACAATCATCAAACAGAATATTACCATTAGAATTGCTTTGAGCATTATTCCATGAGCGGTGTTTTGCATTAAAATCACCAATAATAAAGAATTTAGACCTATGACGGGTAAGTTTCTGGAGGTCACCCTTGAGAAAATTCTTTTTCTGGCCTACGCATTGGAATGGCAAATAGGCAGCTATAAACGTAAGTTGTCCAAATTTTGTTTCAACAGAAACTCCCAAAGTTTCAAAAACTTTGGTTTCAAATGAAGAAAGAATTTTATGCTTGATTCGTCTATGAATAATGATGGCAACGCCTCCACAGGGTCCATCAAGACGATCATTTCTATAAATCAAGTAATTTGCGTCCTTCTTAACCTTATGGTCAGGTTTAAGGAACGTTTCAGTTATAACGGCAATATGCACGTTATGAACTCGCAAAAAGTTAAATAGCTCGTCTTCATTATCTTTAAGAGATCGAGCATTCCAATTTACAATATTTAATGCTTTAAAATCCATTACTGAATTTTAAAGTCATGACAATATTATTTGCAAATTTTACTCCAGTTTGAATAGCATCAAACATGGAGTTAGATTTAAGCATATCAGAAATCATGTCAATTAATGATTTCTGTAAAAATTCCATTTTTGGGGCAGTAATGCTTCCTAAATCAAAATTGTCAAAATTTCCGTTAGAATTACTTTGGCTAGTATTTTGATTTCTACCCGCGGCAATAGCAGCATAGGTAGCTCCATTAACTTGCTGAACATTGTTAGCAGCGAGGGGAGTAGGTACAGATGAAACATTTGAAGCAGGGGTGATATTTGTACCTACGGGTACGAATGTAGAATTTGTTCCTCGCTGACCGTTGTTAACAGCAGAGGAATTTGTACCTGTTCGGAAACGTGGAGCGTTTCTTACCTGTCGGTTAGAACGAGATTGTAGGATCGCTTTGCGAGTCTTACATTCCCAAAAATTGGATTTGTGGTTTTCACCACAATTTGTACATTTAAATTTCTTAGGATCTTCCTTCACAGGACAGTCGTCCTTTGCGTGAGAGGAATCACCACAATTCATGCATTTAGCTGGCATGTAGCAATTTTTAGTTCCGTGACCCCATCCCTGGCACTTACGGCACTGGGTGAGGTTTTGGAAATTTCCTCCAGTCTTCCTGAAGTGTTCCCACTTCACTCGGACATGGAGCATAAGGCTAGCTTTTTCTAAGGCCTTAAGGTTGTTTAGTTCACTAGACTTGAAGTGAACTAAATAAAAATCATTAGAAATCCCGTTGCGCGAATCGCCAGGACGGGATTTCATTTTCATTTTGATTACTTGGAGTGGCACAACTCCAAGTAATTTTGCCAGTTCATCTTTGATCTGATCCAGGGATTCACCACTGGGCAGTCCTTTCATGACAACCTTGAACACACGTTCAGTTTTGGTGTCGTAAGTAAAAAATTTGTGCTTCTTCTCAGTAAGATACTTGAGAAGACATTTAAATCCGTCCAAGGTTTCAGC